TTTTTAGTAGAGACAGGGTTTTGCCTGTTGGCCAGGCTGGTCTCAAACTCCTGACCTCAAGTGATCCATTTACCTCGGCCTCCCAAAGTGCTGGGATTACAGGCATGAGCCACCACGCCCACCTAACTCACAATTTTCTTAATGGTATAGTTAGGTAGAGTTGTCTTCTGGAATGCCTGATTAATTTTTTATTCTTTTAGGTTGTTTTGTTTGTGATTTGCTTCATTTTTTATAACTTTTTAAAAGTTTTATTTTTAAATTTACATGCAGTAAAATTTGCCCTTTTCTGGTGTTATGTCATAGAAGTTTACACACACACACACACACACACACACCCCACAACCTTCATAAGTAACCACCACTCTTAGATCACACAGCAATGGCCCCCGAAAAAGAGCAGCAGCCACCCTGCCTGCTGCAGGCTGTGGCTCCTTCCCAGAAAGTTTTGTAAGTAGAACCAGATGGCTTGGGACCTCTTACACTGGCTTCTTTCACTTCTGGAATTTTTTCTGAGAAGGGCCTTGTTCTGTCTCCCAGGCTGCAGTGTGGAGCAGTCACAGCTCACTGCAACCTTGACCTCCCAGGCTCAGGGATCCTCCTGCCTCGGCCCCTGACCTGAAGTGGCGTTAGCAGGCAGCCCTCAGCCCCGACCTTAAGTGGCGTTAGCAGGCAGCCTATGCACGTCCTCCCATACACTCTTCAGTCATCTCCGAGATCACTCGCAACACCTCATTCGGTGAAAACGCTAAGGAAATAGTTATGATCCTGTGTTGTTAGGGTGCAGGGCAAGAAAAGAAGTGCACGTTTGGTACAGACACATTTTTTTCTGAGTATTTTCACCCGCTGTTGGCTGAATCTACGGGATGTAGAGCGCTGACTGCATTTGCAGTTTCCAGTGATTGGCATTTCTAGGACCAGAGAATATGAGTGTTTAAGGCTTCAAACTCTGTATTTGGGGTGATTTTATAAATAATTGGTTTTCTGTTATCTACTAAAACGTACCTTTTTTGCTGTCATACTTCAGCAAGTGGCATGTTGTAATTACCCCATGTTAATTCCTTGACTGATCACAGCACAGTATAAGCTAGACCCTGCTGAGGAGGGGCTGAGGATGAGGAGAGTCCAGGCCTGGTATGGTCAGCCTGGTCTCCCTGCACACGGCTGCCTCCCGCGCATGGGGTGGGAGCGCATCTCTCCTAACCCGCTCTTGCTGATGAGCAGCTCTGTAGACAAGTGCTGGCTGTGCTTCCTTACAGAGGCCGGACAGGTCTGCTTGGAAGCCAGACGAAACGGTTCCAGAGAGTTCCCTGAGGCGCCCAGACCCTGGCCGGCTTCCACCGGCTGCCAGCGGGGAAGCCAACACCAGCAACGTCAAGGTAGGGACAGTGTTGTGAGTATAGAGCTTTGGTGCTTTTTTAAGTCCTGGGTTTGTAAATTGCAGGCAAAGCATTCTTGTGACCACAAGGTTCTTGTCTACCAGGTGTAGCAGTCAGATCGCTGAAAGGAAAGGAAGTTGGACAGAATAAACTGTGGCTTGCATCTTGGTTTAGTTGTGTACAAATACTGAGTTTCTGTGCTCATGAGTTAAGTGTGGGAACATGGACAGCTTTGACAGAGCCAGCAAGTGACAGCCTCTGCAGCCTGCAGGAGCCCTGGCCCAGGACGTGCCGGGATTTGGCCGAAGCTCCTTGGCAGTCTCCTGATGGCACAGCTCCCACCCCGTGATTGACATCCACCCCTGTGCTCAATGCGGACCTTACCGAAGTGGCTAAATTCAAGGAGCCTTCATAGGGGCTCATTTGATGATGATGCAGTGAGGAGCTTGTGGTCCTGCGTCTTGCCTAATGCAGATTGATCTTTGAACAGCAAGGTTGTTTCTGGCCACAGATACAGTTGCAAGGACGAGGACCTCTTGATGATTGCTGAGAAGAAACAATATGGTTCTTTGTCAAGAGCAGTGGTGTAAATGTGCTTTTGTCAGCAAGATAGTCTTTGTTTCCTATGATAAAATTTTACTGTTTTTTTTTTTTTAGATGGAAAAATTATACCTACATTATTTGAGAGCAGAGAGCTTTAGAAAAGCTCTGATTTATCAAAAGAAGTATCTTTTGCTGTTGATTGGCGGATTCCAGGATTCTGAACAAGAAACACTGTCCATGATTGCCCATTTGGGGGTATTTCCTTCCAAAGCAGAGCGGAAGATCACGTCTCGTCCCTTCACCAAGTTCCGCACAGCTGTCAGGGTGGTCATCGCGATATTAAGGTCAGTGCCGCCACATTCAGTCAGCACATTCCCTGTCTGTCTCTGTGAACGGGCAGCACGCTGCATGCTTTTAGGTGATTTTATTTCATGAAACTCTATAATATATTCTATTTTTTAAGATGAATGGCATTTGAGACCTTAAAGAAAATAGAGATGATGAACTTGTCTTCAGGAAGTCGTGTTGTATGAAGCTGCCATCTTCTGAAACTACAGATTTAAGGACACCTTTGTATTGCAGAAGAACGTCTTGCCTTTTAATGGTTTTCGTGCCACGAATTTTTTTTTTCATTTCCTAGTTTTAGAACGTGCTGGATTTCTAAGTGTTTTCCCCCTGAACGCTGTGCAGCTGTGCCTGCTCCTGATGCCCACAGAGGTGTTTGCCACGGCTGTGCATGGGCCTGTCTGGAGGGGCAGATGCAGCAGAAAGCAGCTAGGAGGACTGCTGCTTTCAGAGACCAGGCCCTGAGCCAGTTCGGTCGTCGGGGCTGCGGGCCGGGCAGAGTCAGGTGCAGGCCAGGCCTCCTGGGGTGCCGTGCTCTCAGCCTCTCTGGCCCCGGGGCACTGCGTCTCCTTGTATCTGAGCTCTCCTGACCATAGGCCTCCACTGTCCATCCTTCCACCCACCCATCTGTCCATCCTGTATTTGTGGGGAGAATGCCTGCATGAGGAACCATTTTAGGTACTAGATGGAGAAGGTCAGCAGACCCAGACCCTACCTCCAGGGTCTTCCTGTCAAGGAGGAGGGAGCATTTGAAAGCAGCAGTGTCCCAGACGGGCAGTCCGTGTGTCCCTGTGAGAGCACTGCCTAGGGTAGCTGCCACCAGGGGGCCTTGATGGGTCTCGTGGAGGAATTGGCAGCGTCCACTGTGCCTCAGAGGAGGGAAGCCACAGATGCGATGCTTGTCCTGAAGGCCATCCTGGCAGGGGTGTCTGGGGCCTGGACCACGACCTGCATGCCCCCGTCACCCACACCCTGCGTGCTTGCCATCTGACGGGCTCCTACAAGGGCTAGGGTCTCCGTGTTTTGAGCCTGTCCAGTGGCATCTGTGACAGGAAGACGGGAGGGTCCTGAGCACCAGGCGGGAGCGGCATGTTTCCCAGAAACCAGTGTGGCCGGCTGTGAACTGGAGTCGTCCTGGGCTGGGCCGTGGTGGGTGTCTGGGGGAGGGGGGAGCCGGATGGTCCACGGTGGGGCTGTTGTGAGGCTTTGTCAGGTGGTCGTGTGTGGGAAGGTCTCCATCTCCGGCAGCCCCGCCAGCACTTTGGATGCGTGCACCAGGCAGCCACGCCTGAGTGGACAGGCTGACCTCGGCGTCCTGGTCCTGGTGGGCAGTGAGGGCCCATGCTGCGTGTTTGGTCACGGTGGGGTTTTCGTTGCTCTTTCCCTTCCTGTTTTGTTTTAAGACTTACTTTTAAGTGTGTCTTGTCTCCTTTTTTGTAGATTGCGTTTTTTGGTTAAGAAATGGCAAGAAGTAGATCGGAAAGGAGCCATGGCACAAGGCAGAGCCCCTCGGCCAGGTGAGGCTCCCTCTCCATTAACCCTTCTGCCAGGTGAGGCTCCCGCCCCATTAACCCCAGGGCCAGGTGAGGCTCCCGCCCCATTAACAGCTGGACCACAGACTTCCTACTCCTTGTAGCATTTTCATTAACTTTGGGGTCATTTTTGTGTTCCTAGGGATGTAATAAGCACAATAAGAGAATCCATGAATTTCATCAGGCCGTGGTCCAGAGGCAGGGTGTGCCCAGTGCAGGGAGGTCAAGGCTTGCGTTCACTATGAACATGGTTCACGGGGGCGTGCGGCGGTGGGAAAACCCGAGATGCTCAGTGTGTTGATTTTTTGACAGTGGTTAGCGAAATGGCCTTTATTCCACAGAGCAGCTGAACTCACTTCACACCACTGCTCTTTCCTCGTAGAGCGTCGTGCTTATTTCCGGCTTACTCACTTCTTGGTCTCGGGAGTTCTCTGCCATGCCGTTGCCCCCCGCGGCAGAGAGCACAGCCGGCTGCACTAGCACTGAAGGAGCCGGCCCCAAAGCAGGGCATTTTCAGGGGCTCTTGTCCCAGAGTGGCAGGTGTGTGCAGAGAACACAGGGTGGGCGTGCAGCTCCCTGGGCCTGCAGGGCTTGGGCTGCCTGAGCCGCTGCTGACCGCCACCGTGACTGGGCATTCCTGGAAGTGCCTCTCCAAGTTGTTGTTGTCTAGAGATGGGCTTGCTCTGTCACCCAGGCTCAAGTGCAATGGTACAGTGACAATTCACTGCAGCCTTGTACTCCTGGGCTCAAGCATCCTCCCTCCTCATCCTCCTGAGTACCTGGGACTGTAGGCCTGAGCACTGCGCCTGGCGGCTATAATCAGTTTCGACTTCCACATTTTAATAGTTGCTTCTTGAAATTAACATGCTTTGATTCAGCCTTCTGGTCCTCAGGAAAGTTTGCCCCTCTGAGTCATACCTGGTGGCCTCCAGCGTTCCTTCCCCTCCTTCCTCCTCAGCCAGCTCTCAGAACTGACAGGACCCCCACGCAGGTCTTACCTGAGACCCCCGGCACTCCCCTAGAGATGGGCTGCCCCTATGGATGCAGATAATCAAAGCTCAGGTTTCTTCCAAGCTTTTAAAAAGATAATATTTAACTTGGATACCTTAAAAAATGTCTCAGAATTGCCATACAGACTCTTAAAAGTCTATACATTTAAAATTTTGATAGGTGGGCCTTTACTAAAATGCATTCATTTCTTTTTCTAATCCCTTTGTCGTGAAATAATTCTGGGAAAGGACCCCGAGCACGACGGCTACAGCAGTCTCCACCCAGAACCAGAGAGTCCCCCCCAACCCGGGATGTGCCCTTGGGCCACGCCAGGGACCCCGCCAGAGGCCGTGGACTGGCAGGAGCAGCCTCCCTGCAGAGTGGGGGAAGGTCAGTGGTGATGTCTTCAGGTCTTTGTCCTGCCAGTGCTCTTCCTCCAGTCTACATAGGTTCTCAGGGAAATACATCTTTAAAGTTCTGGCTTTGGCCCAGCCCAGAGCAAGGCAGGAAACTCCGTCGTGAATCCATGAGGGTCTAGAAGTCCATTCCTGTTTTGGGGGAGGACCTGACTTTTCTGTCTGGTGGCTCTGGTCCCCCAGAGCCTGGTGCTGTAATCTTTAGTGACAGAGGTTATGGTGGCTGAGGGCCCCTTTTGTGAGGGATGTGCCAGGTGAAGAAGGCACATTCCCTGCCCTGAAGATACTTGGAAGCTCTGTGTGGAGAGGGAAAAGTGAAACCCCTTGTGCTCCCTGGGCCTGGTAGAAGGCTGGGAGGAAGGACGGCTAAGGTGAGGACTGAGCAGGGCAGGTATCACCCCAGACAAAGAAACAGTTCAGGAAGATCAGGAAAGGCAGGTGGGACCTGGTGCATAATCCAGGTTGGATAGCAGGTACATTGTTGAAGATTTAGCAAACAAAGTAATATATAATAGTCTTTACTCTGGAACGCTGCACAGGTGGCTTTTAAAGCACTCTAGCACTTTTTATAGGAAGGATCTGAAGGAAACGTCCCAGAGTCGTCCATCCCCATGGGGCTGGCTGGTGGGGCTGGCGCCTTTCTTCTGCACTCACTCACCATGGCTCCATCTGTCAAACTCAACCATTTTTTTTTCTTCCCTTGGTGGTAATTTGTTTGAAGAGCCACTCCATCCCCAAATTCAAGATTAGAAAGATCTCTGACTGCTTCTCAAGATCCAGAACATTCCTTGACAGAGTATATTCACCATTTAGAAGTGATCCAGCAAAGGCTCAGCGGGGCGATAGCAGGTAATGCAGGTCCTCGATGGGTGTTTATTAGGCATTGTCACTGTATCCTGGACATGGAGGGCCCATTGAAAGCTGGCTAGTGTTCAGCGTGGTAACTGTGAGTTTCGGTTTGGACAGTCAGTGTCACAGCATTCGAATATCAGATATAAGTGAAGAATCTCACAAAAGCATAAGCCAGTGCACTCAGCGTTATGTGCTGGGGTCAGTTTGACTTAATCACTGTCTGGACTTTTTTGTCCTTTCTCTTAAATTGATAGCAAAACATAAAGATTATATTTCGACCAGGATTTAATTTGTTCAGTGTTTCTTAAATATTTTACTTTAAACCACTGTATAATTCATATTTTTACCAAAATTTACATGAATTCAGTGATAGTGTTTCAAAATTGTGAAATTCTTTTCAAAAGATGTGCAAAGCCTTCTAACAAATTTGCTGCCTCATTTTTATTTGCAGATTCTATTTCAAAGAAATCCTGCCACCAGAAGATTAAACAGTGAATAAAATCCTGTGGCTCTTACCTGTGACAATTCTATTTGAGGAAAAAATTTGTTTTTCCCTTTTCCCACAGAAGCTCGTGGGATGGCATGGGCACTACTCTCCACGTGCCATGAGACCAGCCCCCAGATGCCTTGAATTAAGTACTTGTCCTCACCTTGACGCATGGCTGCACAGCCAGATGGAGTGTTTTCCGTGGAACCCTTCGTGTGTTTCAGGCACGTGACCTTCGTGAGGTAACGTGTGACACTGGCTGTGCTGCTGTGTGCCTGTCGGCAGACTCATCCTTCCTGCCTCCAGGATGGACACACAGAGAAGCTTCCTGTTGTGTTTATTTTCTTAAAGTGTACAGATGGAAACTTCACTTAAAAATAAGAACAAAACAACCCAAAAAGGAATAAAATTTAATCACTGTTTTGTTTATGAATAGCCCTTGTATTGTTTTTTCCATTTTATCCAGTTTGCTTTTCTCACTGGCTAAAAAATAAAGCAATAAGCCAGACATTTCCGTGGAACTTAAAGCATTCTTGAATGGCCGCTCACCTGCTGTTTACACTCACTTGGTTTCTTACTTTTTTAAGAGGCTGCCACTATGTATCCACCTCTCATGGCCATGCTTCATTTATTTATTTTTATTTTTTTAAGAGGGAGTCTCACTCCGTTGCCCAGGCTGGAGTACAATGATGCGATCTCTGCTCCCTGCAACCTGCACCTCCCAGGCTAAAGCAATTCTCCTGCCTCAGCCTCCCAAGTAGCTGGGATTACAGGTGCGCACCACCACACCTGGCTAACGTTTTTATTTTTAGTAGAGACGGAGTTTCACCATGTTGACCAGGCTGGTTTCGAACTCCTGACCTCAAATGATCCATCCTCCTCGGCCTCCTGAAGTGCTAGGATTGCAGGCATGAGCCACCGCACCCAGCCAGCCATGCTTTTTTATGTTTCATTCATACTCACTTAGACTAGACAGTAATACCTAGCCAAGGACCCTTTACCCAAAAATATGCTTGACGGGTATAAAATTTTTATTTTTGGAGACAGGGTCTTGCTCTGTCACCCAGGCTGAAATGCAGTGGCGTGGTCACAACTCACTGCAGCCTTGACCTCTGGAGCCCCAGCGATCCTCCTGCTTAGCCTCCTGAGTAGTTGGGACTAAGGTACGTACCACCACGCCTGGCACTAATTTTTGTATTTCTTTTACAGGCAGGGTTTCACTTGGTTTCCCAGCCCAGTATCAAGCTTCTGGCCCAAGCAGCCCTCTTGCCGCAGCCTCCCAAGTAGCTGGGACCGCAGGCACACACTGCCACATTCTTCTTTTTTTAAGTAGAGACGGGGTCTCGTTCTGTTGCCCACGCTGGTCTTGAACCCCTAGCTTCAAGTGATCCTCCTCTGCCTTGTCATCCCAAAGCGCTGGGAATACAGGCTTAAGGCACTGCCCCCAGCCCTAACTTACAGTTTATTGAAGGAGGAATAAAATCAAATGAAACCATGAGAAAAAAGACAAACATGGGATATTCTATAGTTAACTGCCCTCGTTTAATCAGAGATGGTGGGAAGGCGAATGTGAGGCACCTGCTTTGGGTTAAAGTAGCCCAAGGAGCTGTTGCCAGAGGCGATGCACAAAACCCGCCTTGGGAGGGAGCAACCTAAGAGATTTTGGGGGGTACCTGGGTAAATTTGAATCTGTACTGGATAGATTCTAGGAGGATTGTTAATTTTCTTAGATGTGACGATGGTTATGTAAGAGAGTGATTCCTTAGGGGTTATATGCTGAATTATTTAATGTTAAACAGCCATGTCGTATACAATTTGCTTTGAAGTTGTATACGATATGGCTGTTTAACCTTAAAAAACACACAAATGTATATGAAGTAAACATGGCAAAATCTTTTTTAAATATTAAATTTAGTGGGTAGGCTGGGTGCTGTGGCTCACACCTGTAATCCTAGCACTTTGGGAGGCAGAGGCAGAGGTGGAGGCAGGTGGATCAATAGGTCAGGAGTTCAAGACCAGCCTGACCAACATGATGAAACCCCACCTCTACTAAAAATACAAAAATTATCCAGGTGTGGTGGTGCACACCTATAATCCCAGCTACTCAGGAGGCTAAGGCAGGAGAATCGCTTGAACCCAGGAGGCGGATTTTTTCTCCAAGCGCAGTGGCTCATACCTGTAAACCCAGCACTTTGGGAGGCTGAGGAGGCCAGATCACAAGGTCAGGAGATGGAGACCATCCTGGCTAACATGGTGAAACCCCATCTCTACTAAAAACACAAAAAATTAGCCAGGCGTGGTAGCACATGCCTGTAATCCCAGCTAGTCAGGAGGCTGAGGCAGGAGAATCGCTTGAACCTGGGAGGCAAAGATTGCCGTGAGCCAAGATTGTGCCACTGCACTCCAGCCTGGGTGACACAGCAAGACTCCGTCTCAAAACAAAAAGTAATTTCATGTACCTGCCTGATAAGAGGCAAATACTCATGTGATAGAAGATATTCTAGCCCTGGCCCCAGGGACCATGGGGCATCTCTCCGTGGTCCAGGTGCCTCAGGTAATACAGACTTATTCAGGACTAGTGCAGCCCTTTGTGGTTTAGTGACTTAAAGTTAATGCACCAATAACATCATATAAAATTAGGAAGGGGGAAGTGATCGGTGTATTCCCTGAAGTTTAAAATGCTACAGTTGTTGTTTTTGCAACTTGTCATGAGCTCTAGTTGATACTCCTGCCTTCATCTATCACCCAGTCCTTGTTTTCCAGCCCTGTCAGCACCTCGGGGTGACTGAAACCTCCTTCCTGAAAGATCTGAGGTCTTAATGGTCTTTTCTTTAGACGACTCTTCTTTCACGACTGAACCTGAAAGTCCTCAGTACCAAAAGCTGCCAGTGAAGACTCCAGATCGTGGATAGAGCTGCTCCCATTTTCATTGCGTACGAGACACCCAGTTTCCCCCAACAGTTGGCATCGCCTCATCCCCGCGCGCTGGCCCAGGCAGCAGTCTCAACTGCTAGTTCAAAGGCACCACTGTCATTTGTAGAAGCAGTCCTCCCTTGGGACAACAGAATTCAGTTAGGAGAAGCAAAAAATTCCTCCTGAGGTTATTTGGTGCCATTCCTATCAGCAGCCCTTATGTTTCCGAGCCAACATATGCTGTCTGTGGGAGAAGTGGCATGACCTAGTGTTCCCGCGAAGCCTTTGCCGCACCCTGCACCGTAGCGCTCCGTACTGACAGGTGTTTTCAGTCTGGCATCATCATTGAGCCTTCAGGGGCCTTTGCACCGTCCACTTAGCGTCCACTCCACTCACTGCAGTGAGCTGAGATTACGCCACTGCACTCCAGGCTGGGTGACAGAGCCAAGACTCTTTGTCTCAAAACAAAAAAAGTCCAAGGTCCAGGGACACACTGATGAAAGCCTTTGTGCAGGTGGAAACTGCAGAGTCCCAGGTGGCATCACACGGCAAAGGCACTGCACGTTAGCCCAGGTCTCCTCCTATAAAGTCACCCGCTCCACTACCACAATAACTCATTAATCCACTCATGATCCAGTCACTTCTTTTTCTTTTTGAGGAGAAGTCTCATTCTGTTGCCCAGGATGGAGTGCCGAGTGGTACGATCTCCATTCACTGCAACCTCTGCCTCCTGGATTCAAGCGATTCTCCTGCCTCAGCCTCCCAAGTAGCTGAGATTACAGGCGCACACCATCACACCTGGCTAATTTTTCATATTTTTAGTAGAGACAGGGTTTCACTGTGTTAGTCACAATGGTCTCAATCTCCTGACCTTTTTATCCGCCTGCCTCAGCCTCCCAAAGTGCTGGGATTAGAGTGGTGAGCCAGTGTGTCCAGCCAATCCAGTCACCTCCTAAAGGCCCCACCTTTTTTTCTTTTTCTTTTTTTTTTTTTAAATGGAGTCTCAAAGTGCAGGGGTTACAGGTGTGAGCCACCACACCCAGCTGGCCCCAACTTTCAATACTTCTTTACTACCATCTGGGGAGATGGAGTTTTCAAAACATGAAATTTAGGGTGCACATTCAAACAGCATATCCCATATGCAGGTGTCTGTTCTCTGCCAGGACCCAGGAACAAGTCAGATGTTGCTGCTTTTTTTTTTTTTTTTTTTCCTTGAGATGGAGTCTTGTTCTGTAGCCCAGGCTGGAGTGGTGCGATCTCAGCTCACTGCAACCTCTGCTGTCCGGGTTCAAGCGATTCTTCTGCCTCAGCCTCTTGAGTAGCTGGGATTACAGGCACCTGCCACCACACCTGGCTAATTTAGTAGAGACGACGTTTCACCATCTTGGCAGGCTGGTCTTGAAATCCTGACCTCATGATCCACCCACTTTGGCCTCCCAAAGTGCTGCGATTACAGGTATGAGCCACCATGCCCAGCCTCAGATGTTGCTTTTCAAAAGGCAAATGAGTTGCTAGCCAAAAGCAAAGCTTTACTTCAAAACCCTGGGGGTCTTGAGCCCAGGAGTTCGAGATCAGCCTAGACAAGATAGTAAGACCTTGTCTCTACAAAAATAAAAAAATTAGCCGGCTGGGCATGGTGCTGCACCTCTGTAGTCTCTACTCAAGGGGCTGAGGTGGGAGGATCGCTTGAGCCCAAGAGGTTGATGCTTTTGTGAGCCGTGATTGTGCCACTGCACTCCAACAGAGTGTGACCCTGTCTCAACAAAAACTAAATCCTCTGGGGGGCTGTCCTAATGGAACTTTATCCTGGAGTACCATCCAGGCACCCTCAATTGCAAAGACCCTTTAAGCATCATTGAAACTTCAAGGTCATAAATCCTGACCAGGAGGGCAGCTTGCATCAAAGCTGCAGGTCTTCTATTGTTCAGATCCTACTTCAAACAAACAGTCTCAGGCCGGGCATGGTGGCTCACGCCTGTAATCCCAGCACTTTGGAAAGCCAAGGCCGGCAGATCACCTGAGGTCAGGAGTTTGAGATCAGCGGCAGGTGCCTGTAATCTCAGCTACTTGGGAGGCTGAGGCAGGAGAATCGCTTGAACCCAGGAGTTGGAGGTTGCAGTGAGTCAAGATTGTGCCACTGCACTCCAGCCTGGGTGACAGAGTAAGACCGAAAAAAACAAAACAAAACTAACAGCCTCTAGGTTTCAATAATGGATTGGAGCAGCGCACCCAAAAATGGCATGTGTCGAATCCAAAATCCAAAGAAGCCCAGCTTGGTGCCTTTCTTAGTGGTAGGCAGTGGAAGGTATAGCCTTTCACTTTAGAGGAGATGCCATAATACTCCACAGACAACTCAACCCCATACAAAGTGCCCAGTTTTTCATGGGATTTATCTCCTACCATATAGCACATTTCTTACTAAGGTATCTAGGGTACTTACTACTTCCTGTTCACTAGAACCGATTACTGTGATCTCTTTAATGTAGATCTCTCTAAAATCAAAATACTACGTCTAAGCAGAC